CATTTTTCAATTATCTCAATTCTGATTGATACCAATGTATAGCTCAAGAATAGCATTCTTAGTGTATGTAAATAACCAATTTGACAGGATTTTTTGAAGTAATTCATATTTTCTGGAACTTAACATCCTTGAACTTGAGCTATACAACAACCTTTTGCAACTCATGCGCATCACGTGTTCCACAAAATGTTTAAACCAATTTCTTTCCTCTTTTCACTTCTATTTTGATGTGCGTTATGATGCTGAATTTTCGATTATTGTTGTTGAACTCTTGAATTACTACTTGATGTTTGAAATCTTGTAGGTGACGATGGATGAAGAAGAATAAAAAAAGTGAACTATCAAGGAACAACTTGCATCTATAGCACCAGTACTTGAACAATTGACTGAAAAATTGAGGCCTTGTGTAAAAGCTACGTACATTGAATTGTTTGGAAAAAAATAGCCAAGTAACTGAAATTTAAGCACAATAGAACAAATCTGGCTTTATTTTTTAATTAATTTTTGTGTCGTATGGTATCCGATATTGTTACGTTCATTAGTATTATATCAGTTTGTGCAAATCTTGCTTCTATAAAGCAACGTAAGGAGATTCATGGGCATCTGGTAAGAAAGCTTTTCCATACTCATCTTTTTGTAGCAAATTCTCTTTTGGATTTGTATACAAAGTGTGATCAAATTGATCTTACAGCTAAAATCTTTGATCGTATTCAACACAAGGATGTCGCCTCCTGGAATACTATATTTTGGAATATGGTACGCTTGGTGATGATGGATGGAGAAGAATAAAAAAAGTGAACTATCAAGGAACAACTCGCATCTATATCGTTAATATTTTTAATAATGAATATTTAATTTAATAATTCAGAATAAACATTTACTTATTTTAAATAACACACAAATAAATATTTACTAATTTCAAATAATATACAATTTAAAAATAAAATTAATAAAATGTAAATCCTATTTATAATTAATCAATAGAAATTGTTAATTAATATTTATTTAAATTTCTATTAAATTAAATAATGACTATTTAGTTTGAATTAATTAAACAATTTTAAAAATTTATTGATTGTTTAATTTAAACTAATTACATATTTTATCAATTAATTGAATTATAGTAAATTAATTAACTACTATTTAATTTGAATTAATTTGAAATAAGTAAATATTATATCTGTGTTATTTAATTTCAATTAAATATTATTTAATTTAATTATATTTGATTAATTGTATTGAGGGTTTACATTCTATTAATTTTATTTTAAAATTTGTGTATTATTTGAATTAAGTAAATATTTATTTGTGTGTTATTTGAAATAAATAAATAAGTAAATGTTTATTCTCAATTATTAAGTCAGGATTAATCATTAAAAATATTAATAAAAATTATTCTAGTTATGAAGTAATTACCATTTAATTTGAAGGAAGTTGGGTTCGTCACCTCATGCGTACAAACTTTGTATTTTTTTATTTTAAATATAAAATTATTTAATATTACAATAAAACATGAGAGTCTTATGTCATGAATATATATTAACATAATGGTAAATGCATTAGATGTTATTTAAAAATTCTGTATTCAATTTCTTATAAGAAACAATTCTTGACTTTTTTAATATTATTAATTCAAAATTGTTTAAAAATGAAATTAAAAATTAAAAATTAATATAGTATTAAAAAAATGAAAAATAAAAAATAAAATTCATCTTGGTAGTCCAATCACGGTTTAAAAGTTAAAAAAAAAATCGGTTTAAGAAAAATATTGACAGAAAAACTAATATAGCCCGATTAAATTTTAAAAACGATTAAATCAGATTCTTTTTTTTTATGAAAGACTAAATTGAATTGTGTAATTTTTGTAAGGAACCAAAATACATCTTCACTCTTTGTTTTTTATTGGTAAAAAAAATTTGATTATATTTCTTTGTTTTATATTTTGCTTTAGCAATTCAAATATTGGCAAAAAATTATGGCATACAATTTTGAATATAAATTATACAACAGTGTTTTACTAATAATATGCTTTCTACTTCAAATTATAAGTCATTTTCCATATAAAAAATTTTATTAAATATTTTATAGTTTTTTAATATATATATATATATATATATATATATATATATATATATATATATATATATATATATATATATATATATATATATATATATATATATATATATATATATATATATATATATATATATATATATACATAGATATATATATATATATGTATATATATAATATATATATATATATATATATATATATATATATATATATATATATATATATATATATATATGTATATATATATATATATATGTATGTATATATATATATATATATATATATATATATATATATATATATATAATATTATATATATATATATATATATATATATATATATATATATATATATATATATATATATATATATATATATATATATATATATATATATATATATATATATATATAAATATATATATATATATATATATATATATATTATATATATATATATATATATATATATATATATATATATATATATATATATATATATATATATATATATATATATATTTACTCTTCTTTTCATTCTATTAATTCTAATTTCATTTTTAAACAATTATGAATTAGTAATATCGAAAAACACAAAAATTGTTTCTTATAATTAATCCTTTTGTCAATATTTTTTTAAAACAGTTTTTTTTACTGGACTGTCAAGTTGGATTTTGTTTTTCATTCTTTAAATACTAAATTGATTTTTAATTTTAATTTTTTTTTAAACAATTCTGAATTAATAATATTGAAAATGTCAAAATTGTTTCTTATAAGTAATCGAAACCAAACCATTTAAATTACATCTTATGTCTTTACCACTAGATAAATCTACATTCATGCAAATAATTTTCATGACTTGGGAAAATATTAAATAATTTTGAATTTAAAATAAAAAATAAAAAATTCAAATTTGTTCAAGTTAAATGATAGTCACTTTCTAACTATACAAATCAATTTCTATCGTTAATATTTCTAATAATGAATATTTAACTTAATAATTTACAATAAATATTTACTTATTTCAAATAACACACAAATAAATATTTACTAATTTCAAATAATATACAATTTAAACATAAAATTAATAAAATGTAATATAATTAATCAAATAGAAATTGTTAATTAATATTTATTTAAATTCCTATTAAATTAAATAATTACTATTTAGTTTCAATTAATTAAAAAAAATTAAAATTTTATTGATTGTTTAATTTAAATTAATTAAATATTTTAACAATTAATTGAATTATAGTAAATCAATTAACTATTATTTAATTTGAATTAAATTGAAATAAGTAAATATTATTTGTGTGTAATTTAATTTCAATTAAATATTATTTAACTTAATTATATTTGATTAATTATATTGAGGATTTACATTTTATTAATTTTATTTTAAAATTTGTGTATTATTTGAATTAAGTAAATATTTATTTGTGTGTTATTTGAAATAATTAAATAAGTAAATATTTATTCTTAATTATTAAGTTAAGTATTAATAATTAGAAATATTGACAAGAATTACTCTAGTTATGAAGTTATTACCATTTAATTTGAAGAAAGTTGGATTCGTCACCTCATACGCACAAACTTTATATTTTTTATTTTAAATATAAAATTATTTAATATTATAATAAATCATGAGACATGAATATACATCAATATAATGATAAATGCATAAGATGTTATTTAAAAATCCTATATTCGATTCCTTATAAGAAATAATTTTGACATTTTTAATATTACTAATTCAGAATTGTTTAAAAATGAAATAAAAAATAAAAAAATCATTTTAGTATTTAAAAAAAGAAAAAGAAAAATAAAATCCATCTTGATAGTCCAATTACGGTTTAAAAGTTAAGAAAAAATCGGTTTTAAAAAAATATTGACAGAAAAACTAATATGACCCGATAAATTTTGTAAAGGATTAAATCAGATTTTTTTTTGTGAAGGACTAATTTAAGTTATGTAATTTTTGTAAGAAACTAAAATGAGTCTTCACTATTTATTTTTTATTAATAAAAAAACTTGATTATATTTCTTTGTTTTATATTTTGCTTTAGCAATTCAATTATTGGCAATACATTATGGCATAACATTTTGTATAAAAATTATACAACAGTGTTTTACTAATAATATGCTTTCTACTTCAAATTATAAGTCATTTTACATATAAAAAATTGTATTATATATTTTTATAGTTTTTAAATATATATATATATATATATATATATATATATATATATATATATATATATATATATATATATATATATATATATATATATATATATATATATATATATATATATATATAATTTTAATTTGTTATAATATTCTTGAAAGATACTTTTTGAAAACAATTATAATTTTTTTTTATAAAATTATATGTATTTTTAATTTGTGTGTGAAATGGACAGATGACCTATAATTTAAAATAGATGTAGTATATTTGAGAAATGGAATGTGTGTTTGTAAAAAAAAGCTAAAAAGTATGTAGATGGTAAGTGATATTAAAATAATTGAGATATTATGACTTTTTTAATTTGATGAAGAAAACTAGGAAAGGTTAATTCAAAAATTATTATTTAAAAAAAACAAAAAAGTACTCCATTTATTACTTATTATAATTAAATTTTATTTTTTTAAATTTATTAAATAAAAAGTGTATCGGATCTATATATAAACTAGATACATTATTATTCAATAAATTTAAAAAATTTATATTCATTTATAATAAAAATAAAAAATATTAAGAAAAAATCAATGTATTCAATTCATATCCTTGACCTCATAAATTTTATTTTGATTAAATTATTATACCATTTTATTTGTTTTTGAACATTTGTCTATAAATAAGAAATGTACTAAACTCCGATCTATCATAATTAATTCATCTCTAAAAGAAAATGTCAAAAATGATACACATATTGTTACTGGTTATGTGTTTGGTGACCATTATTACTGGTCACAGAGATCATGGTATGCAGAGTGGGTTGAAAGAAGATTTGGAATTGGAGAGGCAATTAAACATCCTTAACAAGCCTCCTATAAAGAGTATTCATGTATTTTTCACACAATTTATTGGTGGTTTCAATTGGTTTAATTTGACATTTCTTTCTGACAATTTTATTTTATTTCATTTTGGTGACTTTCATAGACAAAGTCAGGATATATAATTGATTGTGTTGACATTAACAAACAACCTGCTTTTAATCATCCTTTGTTAAAAAATCACAAATTACAGGTAAAATAATTTAGTACATATTATTTTTATTTTATTTTTTATGGCTTGTAAACATTGTTTGAGTCTTCATTGTTGTTTTTTTGTTAGCAGAGAAAACCAATTTTTGAAAGAAACATTAGTGAAACTAGAGTTCAGAATTCACGAATCAAGTCAAAATTCATACTTGAAAAAGTTAGATGTCCTGAATAAACCGTTCCTATTCGGAGGACAACGAAAAATGATTTAATTCAAAAAAAATCTTTATTCAATATTCATAATCAAACTCAAAATGAGTCTGTTAATCATGTAAGTTTATATATATATATATATATATATATATATATATATATATATATATATATATATATATATATATATATATATATATATATATATATATATATATATATATATATATATATATATATAAACATATTATTTTTTAATTAATATGTAAATCTATTAAAATTGTAGTTTGCTCGTGTGTATCTCTCAATAAGGGGTTCTCCTTATTATGGAGTAAGCGGAACTACTAGTGTTTAGAATCCAAATGTTTATAAAGGTCAATCAAGCGCAAGTCATTTATATGTTAAAAGAGGAGTAGGAGATAATATTGACAAAATCTCAATCGGATGGCATGTGAGTTTAAATTTATTCTATAATTTTAATGTTCATTTATTTTAAAAATATGTACGTATAAATGGATATACATTTTATATTTAAATGAATTTGAAAACTTGTGAGTTATTTTCTAATTTATTTTGTATTTGATGTTAGGTGTTTCCCGAATTATATAATGACAACCAAACACATTTATACTTGTTTTGGATGGTAAGTAAATATTTATATATTATTTAATATTCAATGATTAATAGTATATAAATTATTTTATATAAGTGACCTAAATTGTTATGAATAATTTTATTATTATTTTTAATATTTTTTTATATTTTATTAATCTCAATTTATATGTTATTTAGTTAGAAAATCAAAATACTTGTTTATTAAAATATAACGCGGTTTTAAAAAACTACAGTCAGGTAAAAATGGATGCTTTAATATGTTATGCAAAGGTTTCATTCAAGTTGATAGATCATACACTTTTGGTGCATGTATATCTATAACATCTACTTTTGGCGGAACCATAATGGAAACGCCACTTCAAATTGCACAGGTAAAATCATCTATTTACGTAAAGTTTAAATTTAAAATATTTAAATTATGTAACGTTATAAAAATATTTTTCAAATTCTAATGTTAGCAAGCGGCTATATAATATTATCAAATATATACATTTTAAATGATATTATATTCTTTTAATTTAATCATAAAATTTTGAGTTACTACAATTGTAATAGTAAAGTCTTAAAATATTGTGGTGTTCAGGATAAAGGAGGCAATTGGTGGTTAAAAGTGTTAAATAAGGATGTTGGATACTTTCCTGCAGCTTTATTCTCCTCATTCAACGGAGCTGATCAAGTGAAATTTGATGGTTATACTGTAACTCCTGCGGGTACTGATAGTCCTACAATGGGTTCCGGACACAAACCTGATGGTGACTTCACTCATGCATCTTATTTTAGATTTTTGAAATTTTTGGATAAAATTCAAAACCATTTTGATCCTCTACCATTTATGGTAGGAATAGACAATGATGCTCCTAATTGTTATGGTGTTACGAACTATGAAGATAGAAGAAGAAGTAATGGATATTCTATTCAATTTGGAGGACCGGGTGGTAAATATAGTAATTAATTAGAGTGAACAAGTTTATATGTAACGAAGATTTCTAATAATATGTGGGCAAATATGATTTGCCTTTTTTATCTACCTTATAAAACAATGGTATTTTTTTTTTTAAATAAATGAGGAATAGTATTTTATATTATTAGATCATCAAACCCCTTTAAAAACTTTTGAAATTGAATTTTTTTTAAAAATATTTAATTAAAAAAGGCAAATCATATTTGCCCACAAAGTGATATATGAAATTGAATATTAAGTGATACTATAAGAATAATAATTTTTTATATTAAGTTGAATATTAAAATTGTAGATAAATCTTCGATCCCTTCAAATATTATCCTATAAAACTTGTTCACTTATAAATTAAAGCAGTGTTTTAAAACTCAGTCTGATCCGGCCGGTCGGACCGGTCTGACTGAGAATCGGTGAGTTAAGCGGTCCGAGTAAGGGATAAGACCAGAATTACATTTAAATCGGATGAAACCGGTATGAACTGACCGGATCACCGGTTAAACCAGTGAATCGGCAGTTTTTACTGAACCGACGAGTTTGACTATTTATTTTATTTTTTAGGGTTTTTGGAAGAAAAAAATTAACATAAACGCTTTGTCTCCTCGTTTTCCAAACCTAGGCATTTGAAAGGTTTTATTTTTTATTCTGTCTTTTCTTTTTCTAATTGAAGTCATATTCTCAATTTTATCTACCAACAAAAACTTCCACTTGCTGCTGTTATTTGATATTCTTTGTTTGCCGTCAAAAATTTCATCAAAACATCAAAAACAAGTTATTTCTTCTTTACTTGGTCTAATTTGCATTGATGTTTTTCAATATGAATATTATTGTTTCATTTTATTGATTAATTGATATAGAAAATAAATGATTAAATTTGATCGTTTTCTATAAAATTAGGTCTTTTAGTTTAACAAATTGAGATAGAATTTGTATGAATGAAGCAGTTTTATACTTTTATGAATTAACTTATTATAGACTGGTAATGAAGTTGTTGTATATTGGAGATGGAAATTGGGATAAATATATATTACTGTAATAGTCGTTGTATATATTATGGAGATAGAAATTGGGTTTAAAACTATGTAATCTAAATTATATAGTAAGACAAAGTTTTCTGTTTTTTATTAATTTAAATTATATAACAAAGAAAAGTTTCAGGATTTTATTAATCTAAAATATATAGCAAAGGCTGGAAAGCAAAGTTTCTATTTTTTTAGTATATATGGTGATGCACGGTGACGATTCTTGGTAGCTTATATGTAATATACAACAACATATTCATATATTTTGGATTTAGATATACTACATATTTAATGTTTCTTATAATGTTTTTAAAAATTTAATAATTTTTGTTTAGAATTGTGTTTTGTTAATATTTTTGTAATATAGTTTTGTATTTTTAAATTTTGATTGATATTAGATATGGCATCACCCGTTGAAGTAATAACTTCGGAAGAAGTTACATCTCAAAATCCAACCCAACTCCAGAGCAGTAGGGGAAAAAATGATATAGCTTGGGGTCATTGTAAACAAATTGAAGAGAAAGGAAAACTTGTTAATTTGTGTATTTACTGTGATAAAATTATTAGAGGATGGGGGATTAATAGGTTCAAATTCCATTTGACTGGAATAAAAGGTCAAGTTGAAACATGTAAAAAGGTGCCTCCAGATGTTCAATATCAAATGAAATAAAATCTTGATGAAGGTGCAAATAAGAGAAGAAAGACTCAAGCACAAAATTTTGATGTTGATCTTACTACTCAAGAGGGTGGTGTAGTAGAAATGGATGTAGAACAATCAAGATCAAATTCGGTGATTGTGTCTCAAAAGAGAAAGAATACTAGTCGTATTGGTAATTATTTTATGCTCAGAACAACTCCTGGAGCTCAACCTTCTTTAAAAAGTGTGTTACAAAGTAAGGAATTCGTGGAGAAGTGTGATCTAGCTATTGCAAGATGGTTCATTGATTCTTCTGTGCCATTTAATACAGCTAATTCTGCGTATTTTCAATTTATGGCTGATGCACTTTGCAGCATGAGTCTGGGGTATAAAGTTCCAACTATGCATAGTCTTCGTGGCTATTTGTTAAATAAATTGGTTGAAGATGTGAACAAATTGATAGAGGAGTATCGTGAGATTTGGAAGAAAACTGGTTGTACTCTAATGGCCGATGGATGGACTGATTGAAAAAGAAGAACTCTTATAAACTTTCTAGTTTATTGTCCCAAAGGTACTATTTTTCTAAAATCCGTTGATGCTTCTCATGCTTCAAAAACTGCAGATATGTTGTATAAGCTTTTTAGAGAGGTGGTTTTATTTTTTGGGCCTGAAAATGTAGTTCACATAGTGACAGATAATGTTGCAAATTATGTTGCTGCTGGAAGGTTATTAGAAAATGAGTTTCCTACTTTATTTTGGTCTCCTTGCGCGGCACATTGCATTAACTTGATGTTGCAAGACATGGTAAAATTAGAGGAAGTTAGTGAGACAGTGTCACGTGCTTCTAATGTTACCAAATATATTTATAACCATTGTTATGCATTGTATTTAATGAGAAAGCAAACAGGTGGAAGAGAAATCCTTCGTCCTGCTCCAACTCGGTTTGCCACTAATTTCATTGCTTTGTAAAGTATTTTGTCTCACAAAAACTCACTAAGAGCCATGGTAACATCTAAAGAATGGACAAGCTCAGCATATGCCAAAGAAGCAAAGGCAAAACAGTTTGTGGATCAAGTTTTAGATTTTGGATTTTGGAGTAAATGTGCTGATGTAGTTAAACTCACTGAATCACTTGTGCGTGTGTTGCATATTGTTGATAGTGAAGATAAACTTGCTATGGACATTCTATGCAAATCTATAGTCAAAGCTAGAGAGGAGATGGTGAGGAGGTTTCAAAGAAATAAGAAGAAAGTGGATCCTTACTTGAAAATCTTAGATAAACGTTGGGATTCACAGCTCCGTAAAAATCTTCATGCTGTCGGTTATTAGTTGAATCCAGCTTGTAGATATAATGATGTAGAATTTGAAAAATATGCATCCACAACATCAGGACTTTTAGATGTCATTGAAAAGCATGCTAATGGAAATTCTGAACTTCGATTGAAGTTAACAGATGAGATGAGAATATTCAAAGACGGTGAATTAGATTTTAGAAGGAAATCATCCGTGGATGAACAATGTATTGTGAGGGCAGGTAATTTCATAACTTCTAACTCTTGATATATATTTTATTTTATATTTCAATATGTTTATAAATTTATTTAATCACATGGTATAAACATATCAATGGTGGGAAACTTATGGCACTTGTACACCAACTTTACAAAGGTTAGCTATTCGTATTTTAAGTCAAACTTGTAGTGCTTCGGGTTGGGAATACAATTGGAGTATATTTGAGCATATTCATTCCAAAAAAAGAAATAGATTGGAGCACCAAAAGCTTTATGATTTAGTGTCTGTTTGTTACAATTTGAGACTTCAAAATAGGTATTATTATGGTTATTTTTCTCTGATCATTATATTTTTATATTTAAATATATATACTTAGATTTAATTCATGTGTGCTTAGGAAAATAAGAAATAGGATTTATGATCCTATCAATATTGAAACAATTACCGACCATTCTAGTTGGGTATTAGAGGATTCACCACCTCTCTTAACTAATGAAGAGTCGGAAGCATTGCGGAATGACCTTGCAAATATGACCATCCAACCAATTTCAAGTGATATTGGTATGTTCTAATATGAGCATAATATAGTTTGTGATTGTGAATCAATTTAATGTCTCATATTTACCATATCTAAAAAAATTTTGTTAATTATTTTTTAAAATATTGTTATAGATCAAATAGATTTAGATGAGGATGAAGATGGAGATATGGGTAATGCACAAGATATTATTGTTGATACTATGAATCAAGAAAAAAAAATAACACCAGAGAAGATGAAGTTGGTGGAGAAGACAATGAAGTTGAAGATGGATATGAATATCAAGATTATGATAATTTGACTTCATGAACATAAAAAATTGTGGATCATTGAGTATGGATTTTTGTGACTTATTATAATACTATAACTTATGAATTGTGAAGTTTCTATCACTTCTTTGAATTTATAATTTGCTACATTAAGTTTCTATCACTTATTTTGATTGTTACTAATATTTTTGTTTATTTATATTATTATAGTTACAAATTTCAGGTAATGAATATATTTTTTTATAGAAATCGGGTCAAAAGTCATGCGGTCTGACCAGTGACCTACTGGTCCGACCAGTAATCCAATGACCCAATAACTTTACCGAGTCGATCACCCGCCTGGATTTTAAAACATTGAATCAAAGATTTCTTCAAATATTATCTTTGATTTATCTACCGTTTTTAATATTCAACTTAATATAAAAATTTATTATTCTTATAGTATCACTTAAGAAAGTACACATAAGATTACTATTTTAATCATCAATAATTCCTTTCAAGTACTTGTATAATCATATCTCACAATCAGTTGGATGCATGCCTAAAAAGAAAGCCAATTTAATGAACACGTCGCCTTTTAGAAATCATTTTTATGTTTATACATTTAGAAATCATGTATCAGTTAAATTTTGATAAATAAAATTAATAGTATATATTTTCATTAATTTTTATAGTTACTAAAAAAAACACTTTCATATATCACTTTTAATATAAATTTAATAGTAAATGAAGTTAAAAAAATTATTAACAATATTAGTTGGCCGTTTTAAAAATTATCAATAATATTCGTTGGAAGTAATAAAAATTATTAAAGCATTTGAAAGGTGAGATTGAGAAATATGAGGAGTTAGAAGAAAAAAATGAAAAATGTATTTTAGTAATTCATTTATTCAACTATTTTATTTTTTTAAATATTTAAATTTTGAGATGAATTAATAAAATTAGACCAAATTTTTTTCTATATAATAGTTTATTAGGAATGTAAAAAAAACATCAAAATTATATTTTGTGAAAAAATA